TCGGGGCTACATAGAGACCCTTGTAGATGGAATTTTCCTGTCCCGACTGCCTGTTCCCAAATAACTGACTTCTGAGTTAATATAAATACAAATGCTTGGTCAATAGCTCAGGCTTATTACTAATTACTCTTATATTTAAATTAACCCATATTTCTTATCTGTGCTTTGGCATATGACTCACGGCTTGCTACCTCATTTTCTACACATCCTGCTTCCTCAGTGGCCAGAGTCCTCTCTAACCCCACTCTCCTTTTTCTCACCAGTCTCCTAGTTCGGTTGTCCCATCTATAATTCCTGCCTGGCTGACAGTTAATCAGCTTTTTATTAAACCGATCCAAGGAACAAATCTTCACAGTGTATAAAAGGATTATTCCATAGCAGACCCTGCCTCATAAAACAAAACAAACAAACAAAAAATTCTGAGTGACTATCAGAAAATGCTGCCCACATTCAGGATGGGTCTTCTCAAATCAACTAAGGTAGTGGTTCCCAACCTTCCTAATGCTTTAATATTGCATTAATATTGCGACCCTTTAATATTGTGGTGACCCCAACCACGAAATTATTTCTGTTGCTACTTCATAACTGTAATTTTGCTATCGTTATGAATAGTAATGTAAATATCTATGTATTTCGATGGTCTTAGGGGACCCCTGTTAAAGGGTCAGCAGCGTTGAGACCATAGATTGAGAACGCTGAACTAAGGCAGTCAGAACAATTCTCCAGGTAGCGCTCCCTACTCAGGTGATCCTAATCTACAGCAAATTGGCATTAAAACCAACCATCACCCTGCCCAAGGCTGTGTCAGGACTGTCCTTTTATCTCATCCCCTAATCGCCACTTGGTGTCATCCAATTTGTGAGAAACCTCTTAGAAGTAGGGAGCCCTGCAGGGTCATTGTGATGGCTAAGGAAAACTCCATTCTGCGCTGTTCCCAAATAACTGACTTCTGAGTTAATATAAATTACAAATGCTTGGCCAATAGCTCAGGCTTATTACTAATTAGCTCTTACATTTAAGTTAACCCATATTTCTTATCTGTGTGGTTCCTAAATGGTAATGGTAATGGTAATGTTCCTAAATGGTAACAATGTTCCTAAAAGGTAAGCTCCTGACAACCCGGACTCCTGACCGCCTCCTCAGAATTGTAAAACTGCTTGCTTTGGCTTTTGTAAACCTGCTTATGGCTATAGAATAAAGGGTGAGAGCGAGTGCCTCACCAGCTGAGGGGGTGAAGCGGTTTCTCACTCAGCTGCATAGTCCAGAAAAACGAGATGATTGTCATCTCCACCTTAAAAACAAACAAACAAAAAACCCTCAAGCTCCTTCTGCATGGATGCACATCTTTGATTTGGCTTTAAGGCTGTCCTCCTGCTAGCAGTAATAATAACCTCATTTAATTGTGATTTGGATGAGTCTGTGGTTTTTTTCCCAGTAGATTCAAAGTCTGTAACATTCAAGATGGCAGCCTAGTCCCAGTTCCTCCCCACACAGCGTCAGGAAACACTGAAAACTTCAAGGGTGGCTGTGCAAACAAAAGCATCAAAGGCCTCCACGCTGATCCCGGAAAGGCCTCCACTCTAGCCCCGGAAAGGCCTTCATGCTGGCCCCGGAAAGGCCTCCACGCTGACCCCGGAAAGGCCTTCACTCTAGCCCCGGAAAGGCCTCCACGCTGATCCCGGAAAGGCCTCC